TCTGCAAGCTGTGGGGATATAGACAAGCCCATCTGAAACTATAAGTTGGTAAGAAATATCAGTACTTATTTCCTAGGGTTGTTTGTTTCAAAGGTTTGGTATGGATTTCTTATTACTTCTGTGACAAATTACCACAAATTTAGCAACTTAAGACAGTGCAAATCTAATTGGAAATGGTACATTCTGGAGATCAGAAGCCCCCCATGGGTCTCAGTGGGCTAAAATCCAAGTATGGGCAGAATTGCATTCCTTCTAGAGGCTTTAGGGGAGAAGCCATTTTCTGGCCTTTTCCAGCTTCTACAAGCCGCCTGCATCCCTTGGCTTGTGGCCCCTTCCTACATCTTCAAAGCTGCAACAGCAAGTTGGGTCCTTCTCGTGTTGTTGCAGTCACACATCTCTTCTGACCCTCCTGCTTCCTTCTTATACGGACGCTGTGATCACACATGGCCCATCAAAATCATCCAGGATCACCTCTCCATCTCAAGGTCCTTAATTGAATTACATCAGCAACATCTCTTTTGCCACAAATGTCACCATATTCACAGGTTCTCAGGATTAGGACATGGTCATCTTTAGGGCCCACTCTTCTACTGGCCACTGGGATTCAAAGTATGGACCCTAGAGGGTCGAAGTACTATTTCTGCTGCACAAAAGCTGGGCAATCTTAAGCAAGTGGTTTGGGCCTTAGTTTACTCATCTGTAAAATGGGAGTCACAACAGTGTTTGGTTTATAAACAGAGCTGCTGTGAAGATTGTGATGATATCACAGAGAACATGGGCCAAACCCTCAACAGAGAGCCAGGCACATAGTAAACACCCAGCAAATACAACCAATGGTTATTACAAGAAGGAGTTGCTTTGGGAGCTCAGAGAAGACTACATCCAGCATGAGAAAGGTGGTCAGGGAGGGCTTCCTGGAGGAAGAGGATTACTTTAGACGGATTGGAGAGAGGTCTCTTCCAGCAGAGGTGACTGCTTGGACAAAGGCCTGGAGGTAATAAGCTATGAATAGTTCTAATTAGCTAAGGCAGAGAGGGCAAAGTGGGTGATGACAAGAGGTGAGGTTTGGCAGACCCCCAGGAGCCTCCTGATCTTGAATGTCAGACAGAGGAGCCCTACAGGGCTTCACTCTCAGGGAAGTGGCCGGGGGTGGAGGGGTCACTGACATTGTCTGGCTGTGTGTTTTTGGGCCTGTCTCTTTACCTCCATTTGAGACTATAAAGGATATAATCCTTTATTTCACAGTGCTAAACTGTAGTTTTCAATATTTCAAACATTTAGAAAGCATAAAAAGGGTAGCACAATGAACACAGTATGTTCTTCTATTGGTTACCTATTGGTGCCTGATAAATTACCCCAGAATTTAGTCGCCTAAAACAACATTTATTGTCTCATGCAGATTCAGTGGGCCAGGTATCTGGGGGGTTCTGGCTGAGGGTCTTTCATGAGACTGCAGTCAAGACATCAGTCCAGGGGTGGTGAGAGAACCCAGGATGCCTAGCATCCACTGGGTTCAATTCCCATTACCTCCATTAAAAAATAAAATAGATAAACATAATTACCTCTCCCCAACAAAATTTAAATAAAATAAATAAATTTTAAAAAAATGAGTCACTAACTCCAACTCACATTCAAGGGGAGAAGAATTGGGCTCCACCTTTGGAAAGGGGGACTGTCAAAGACTTTATGCACATATTTTAAAACTACCACAACACTGTACCTAGATTCAGCAATTAACATTTTCCCGTATGTGGTTTATATATCTGTGTGTAAATATATACATATTTGTTTCTAAACAAATTTGGAAGTAAGTTTCATACATCTATCATGACATTTCCCCCCTAAATACTTCAGCATTTCCTAAGAATAAGGAAATTTTATTACATAAGTTAGATACCTTTATCACACCAAAAAAAATCGTATTTATGCCAAGATATTATTTAATATTCAGTCCATTTTCAATTTCTTCATTGTTTTAAGAAGTTTTTGCACCTTTTTTTTTAACCAGGATCAGATCAAGGTTCATGCACTACAAGTAAGGATTATGTTCCTCTAATCCTTTTAAATTAGAATCTTGTTTATTTTTCACAACATCGACTTTCTGGAGCAAGCAGGTCAGCCAGCTTGGAGAATGTCTCACATCCCTTGTAATTCCTGTAACTTAGACCTAGAGGCTTAATTCAATTGTCTTGTATTTTAAAATAATATTTTCTATTGTAAAAGTAATAGAGCTCCATTAAAGAAAACTTGGACACTAGCAAAAAAGGGAGAAAAATCCCCTATAACCCCCACAAACCCAAGTAACCTGTGTTAGAATTTTGCCCTTCTTTCCTGCCTTGTTTTTCCGTAGCATGCTTTCTGCCTGCTGCAAACTGGTGGGAAGACAGAACCCTCTATTGCATTTGTTCTCATTGCTCTAGTGTGGTGGGCAGCCTCCAAGCTGGACCCCAGTGATCTCCGCCTCTTGGCATTCACATGATTGTGAAGTCCCCTCCCACATTGTGTCAGGGTCTTAGTCTGTGTAACCAGCAGCACGTGGCAGAAATGATGGATGGCAAGTCTGGTATTAGGTTATAAAAAGACTGTGACTGCCTTCCTGGGCATGCTGTTTCTCACTTTTTCTCATACACTGACACAGATCTCTCACTCTGAAGGAATTCAATGGTCATGTTATGAGGATACTCAAGCTGCCTATAGTAAAATCTATATAGGGAGGACCTCAAGCCTCTGCTTAACAACCAGCAAGGAGCTGAGGCCTTCCAATAACCATTTGAGTGATCTCAGAAGTGGCCCCTCCCTCAGCCAAACCTTTGGATGAGACCATAGCCCCAGCCAACAGCTTGACTGCAACAACACTAGAGTCTTGAGCCAGAACCACCCAGCTAAGCCACTCCTGATTTCTGGAGCACAGAAATAAGATAATATTTGCTCTTTTAAGTTATTAAATTCAGGGATAATTTGTTATGCAGCAATTACTAACTTACATATCTCCTCAAGGATTCTCCCCTGGCTGCTATTTAGTTCCCATGACCACACTTCCTTGTGGCTGTAGAATATACCACAAGGGGATCATCAGACCACGTATTACTTGCTCTTAGCAGAGGTTCTACTCTCCCCTTTCCTCATCCTGCTTTAGGCACCGTGCTCCTTTAAATTGCTAAATAAGCTCCACCTCACAGCCTTGGCCTCTGCTGTTCACTCTTCCTGGAGTGCTCTTCTCCCAGGTACCCCCAGGTTTGGTCCCTCATCCCCTTCAGAGGTCTCTATTCAAATATCAGACCTTATGGTGTAGGGAAGAGGGTATAGCTCAGTGGTAGAGTGCATGCCTAGCATGCATAAGATCCTGGGTTCGATCCCTAGTATCTCCAACTGAAAAAAAAAATTAAATAAATAAATGTCAGACCTTACCAGCGTGTGTGAAAGAGAACTCCCAGCACTCGTGATTCCCTCCTCTACTCCTGCTTTACTTTTCTTTGTAGAAGTTATCCCTAGCTGGCACTATATACTTGTTTAATTAGCTGTGTCCCTATTTGACTGTGAGCACCTTGAGTGCAGGGTCCTGTCTGTCTTGTTACCTGCTGTGACTCTTCTGGCCTGATGCATAGCAGATGCTCAGTAAATGTTCCAGAAATAACTACGCTCACACTCCACCGTGTGGAGCAAATGCAGCCACAAGAATTCCTCCCTAAATGCCTGTGTGTATGTTACAATTTTTTTTTTTTGCTGGAGTATTTTAAAACATATCTTAGATGGCATTTCACCCATGAATACCTCAGAAAACATCTCTAACTGATAAACACTTATTTTTAAACATAGCTACCATGCCATTATCACTCTTATTTCACCCATATTTTAAAACCACCACAACCCTACACCTATATTCAACAATTGTTATTTTACCATATGTGCTTTATAAAATGTGTGTTAATATATACATATTTGTTTTTAAACATTTGAAAATATGTTTCATGACCTTTCACCCCTAAATCAGCATTTCCCAAGATTAAGGACATTTATCATAGAAGTGCGATACCTTTACTGTACTTAGTCAAAATCAACAATAGCTCCTTTATATCACCTAATGCTCAGACACATTCAAATTCCCTTGGTGGTCTCAAACATGCCCTTTTCTGTGACTGCAACTTAGTTGTTGTTAAAAACTGCTCCCACCCCCACCTCCCCTAAATCCTGTTTTCCACTTTTCTCCATAGCACTTAACACCATCCACCCGACGCTGGAGTTTTATATCATCTGCCCCTCTCCAACCCCATCGAAAACATCACGAGCTCTTTGAAGTCAGGGAATTTCATCTGTTTTCTTCACTGCTGGTACAGAGCCGAATCTCAAGAAATATTAAAGGAGTAAATCATTATAACGTGTGCCATTTATTGAGAGCTTTCATATTGCATCATCATCCTTATAACCTTCCTCGGAGGCAGGTGCTATTCTTATCCGTATTTTGTAGACAGGAAACTGAAGTTCAGGAAGGTGGTCTGCACTAGATTCTTCCTTAAATCCCGCCCACGCCCTTGGGATAATCTCCGTCTCCTTAATTTAATCCCCTTGGGGATCCGCCATCCCGGGTCTCCAAACCCTAGCCCTGAGCATCCTCTTCATTCCCTCCTCCACTGTGTGCGTGGGGGCTACTGGGCTGACCGCGGGGCTAGGGTGTGGGGGCCCTGAATGTCCCCGCATTGAATTGGGACTTTATCGCGTAACCGCTGGGGAGCCAGGGAAGGTTCCTGAGCAGCGGAAAGGACAGAGCCATCGCTTTCTCCGTGAGGGTCAGTCGGCCTGTCCCTCCCTCTCTTGTCTCTCTTTGGAGAACGCGGTGAAAAGCGCTCACGCACAGCCTAGGAGCGCCTTCGTTGCCGATGGCAACAGAGTCCTGGAGAACCACCGAGACGTGGCCCAAGAGTGCAGAGCGGTCACTCTGGGGCCAGCAAGACGCGGAGAGCTAGAGAGGCACGCCCAGCCGATTGTCACGTGGGTGGCCGCTCGAAGGCGGGACTTCCGGCAGCACCATATTTTCTTTCCGGTTGTTAGCTCCTGCCGGCCCCTCCCTGACTGGGCCCTGCGCCCCCCGCCCCCGCGGCCCCCTGCCGCTGGGCCCGCCACCACCATGAAGAAATTCTTCCAGGAGATCAAGGCCGACATCAAGTTTAAGAGCGCGGGGCCCGGTCAGAAGCTCACAGAGTCGGTGGGGTGCGTGACGGGTGCTGGGGCTTGAGGCCCGGGGGCAGGGGGAGGGTGTGGGCTGGGAGAGGACAGAGAAGGCGAGAGGCAGGGAGGGGCAGCAGAGTCAGTGGGTGGGGAGAGACCTTGGGGGGGCGGGGCAAGGGGGAAGTGGAAATAAGGGGGAGGGGAGGCCTCTGGGGGCGGGGCCGCAGGAAGTGAGGGGTCTGGAGAGATCTTGGCGGGCTAGGGTGGGCAGTAAAGGAGAGGCCAGGGGAGCAGAGAAGGGGCATCACTTAAGATTGAGGGGAATCTAGGTGACCGGAGATTGGGGACTGATCCTGAAGAAGCAAGTAGAGCTGGGATCGCAGAAAGTTGTGAGACTTGAAGTCCATGGCAATAGGGACGTGGGCCTTGGTTCTGGAGCAAGAGGGAGGACGGGATGAGGTTCTGGAAGGCCAGCGAGTCTGAGGCGTTGTTGGAGGGGTGGTCAGGTACTTGAGAGCTCCAGATAAACCGGGGGATGCTGCGAGGGGCTGAAGAAGGTCTGGGAGGAGAATGGAGGCAGGTGAATGGAGGCGAGGAGCTGGAGGAGTCTGTGACAGGAAGGAGATGGGGGCTGTGTGGGTGATGGCTGAGCTGGCCTGGAGGCCCTGAGGGAGATCTGGGAGGGGAGGGGAGGTGGCCTGCACTTCCGGGCCTCTGACTTGTCTGGGAGGACTTGGAGAAGAGAAGGGCCTGGGGGCAACACTGGAGACTCCTTGGGGAGGTGTGTGAGGGGTCAGTGCTGTGAAAAGCTGGAGCAGGTACAGATGCCAGACCAGGGGATGGTGGGCTGAGAAGGAGGCATCACTGCGGGGTGGGTTGTGCAGAGGGAGTCTCAGAGGGGCTGGGGTTGCTACAGGGAGCTACAGAGGGTGCTGGAGGGCCTGTGGAAGTTTAGGATGGGGAGTGACTAAGAAAGATGTAAGTCTGGGGAGGGGTCTGTGAGGAATGATGGAAGGGATTGTGAAGAGGCGGGAACTGGGAGGAGTCAGAGAGTCTGGAAGGCTGGCAGGAAGGGATGGTGAGGGAATCATGAGGCAGTGGGCATGGGTGAGGGAGAGTGGGTGTGTGGCAAGGACATCAGGGCATCTGTCACGAGGATTGGGCATTCCTGGGGTTTCTGGGAGGGGAGCACTGTGTGGGCGAAGGAGGCCCATGAAGGCCAGGTCTGTGAATAAGGGAGGAGAGTGCAGGTCCTGGGAGCCTGAGGTGGGGAGAGAAGGGCAGCTGGCCCAGGGGAGCCGTGGGCCAGACAAGAGGATCCGTTCATTTGTTCAGCAAGTAGTCAGTGGAGATGGGGGGGGGCTGGTGCAGCTGAGACTGTGTGACAGGAAGGAGGTGGGGGCCGAGTGGGCGATGGCTCTGTCAGACTGGAGACCTGGGAGGGGAGGAGTGGGCAGTGAGATGAAGATCTGGGCTTCTGTAACTTGCCTGGAATGAGACTGGAAATTGAGGGTGTGTGGGAGGGTGTGTCCAGCACTGTTACGGTGGGAAAGAGAGAAAATCCCTGCCCTGTCAGGGCTCACCTTCTAGTGGGGAGAGGTGGACAAGGAAACCAATGTATAAATGATGAAAGATCAACCATGAAGGAAAATGAACAGTGTCAAGATAGGGACGCTGGGGACTGTTAGGTGGTCTGGGAAGGCCTCTCTGAGAAGGTGACCTTTGAACTGAGAGTTGGATGAGGTGAGACTCAGCCATTCGGAAATCAACCCCTGTCACCCACACACCCCTGTGAAGCAGCCTCTGCCAACCGGCTCCCAGACAGCACACTCCAGGCATAAGGCACAGAAAGTGCAAAGGTCCTGTGGTAGGAATGGTTGGGCCTATGTGAAAACAGCAGGGAGTGTAGATAAGATAGGAGTAAATGAGAGAAAGGGTCAGGTTGTAAGGGGCCTATAGGCTTTGGAGGCTCCAGGATTCTCCTGTGCTTGTTACGGGGGCTTTATGCAGAGGAGGGACAAGCCCTGGCCTGGATTTTAGAAGGATCCCTCTGGCTGCATAAAGGGAGTGCGTGAGGGGTCTTGGAAAATGGCATTTTTATAGAAAGATCTAGATACCACATGGGGCTTGGGTGGAGCTACACGACTGGTATTTTCTTCAGTGCGAAATCCTCAGCTATGGGGAGGGCTAGAGAGAGGGGCAGGGCTAGGCAGGAAGCTCCCAGAGGCCTTGGGACAAGAAAAGAGGGCTGCCTGGGGATCTGAGCAGAGTGGCGGCGTGAGGGTCATGAACTGACAGCCTTGGTTCCTGAGAAGTTGGTAGAGATACAGCACAAATGATTCCAGCTACCGAGGTCGGGAGAGGGTCCTGAGGAAAGGAGGTCAGGCCAGGTCATTTTCGTGCTAAGATTAGGAAGCTGCCCATCCCATGGGGTAATCACCTGCTTACCTCCCAGGAGGAGGGGAGATGAAACCAGATCTTTGTAACACACTCCACACAGGGCTTGCGTGTGACCTGGCATGCTGCCCAAGCTTCCATGACCCTCTGGGGCTTGTGAAAGGGGATCTAGAGACCTCCCCTAGAGGAATGTTGGTGTGAGGAATACACAGGCTGAGCCCCAGCTAGCTCCTGGCACGCTGCCTGGCATATAGCAGGTGCTCAGTAAACGAAGCCTGGATGTCTCACCATTGTAGATAGTGGAAGGGGAGACTTACTGAGGGAAGGGAGTGAGAGGCATGAGGTCTCGGCCCCTGCGGACAGTAGGTGCTTCACGCCAGCTCCACAGCCCCACACTCATGGGCAGGCGCTCTTACCTCCACTTAACATGTGACAGCTACCTGGCCCAAGCTGGTGTAGGACTTGCCCAAAGGGGCAGAGCTGGGAGCAGAACCACCACCTGCCTGCCCTCACGTTGCCTCACTGTCCCTCTGTGTCTGCTCAGGGAGAAGGCCCCCAAAGAAAAGCCCAACCAGCCGGCGATCCGGCAGCCCCGCCAGGGACCCACTGATGAGGCGCAGATGGCGGCCGCGGCAGCCCTGGCCCGGCTTGAGCAGAAGCAGCCCAGGGCGCGGGGCCCCACGTCGCAGGACTCCATCCGGAACCAGGGTGAGCTGCAGCCGTCCTTGGGCTGCTGTCGGGGGACGCAGGGAGAGGTGGTGCAGGCCTCTGCCCCTCCACCCTCGAGGCTGATCCTCTGCTGTTCATGGGTCCCAGACCCTGTGCTTGGCTCCGGGTGAAAATCATTGCATTAATCAATGATTTGGAGTTGGAGGGGTGGTTTAAATCACAGTTGTGAACCGGTCCACAAAGGGGAGATGCAGGTGAAAGGCAGAGGGGTCTGCCGTGGTCTGGGTGGCTCAGACCTCAGGGAGATTGCGGAGGGGAGACAGGAGGAATGCATGGTCTGGCACAGCCTGAGGGTTTGGAGAGGCGGTGGGGCCTCGTGGGACCTTGAGCTGCAAGAACTCGAATTTGACCCACATGAGGAACCGGGCCGGGGAGGGCACGTGCCTGGCTCACTGGCTCACACACTGACCCATTCCTGTCTCTCCAGTGAGAAAGGAACTTCGAGCTGAAGCGACTATCAGTGGGAACCTGGACGCCCTGGGGACCAACACGGTAAGAGCCTCCCTAGTGGCAGCACAACATCCTGAGGGGCGGCCTGGGGTTGGCGAGCTGGGGGCCCTTAGAGGCCCTGCTTGGGCTCTCCTGCGTCAGGTGCTGGGGAGGCTGGGGAGACACAGAGAGATGTCCCAGTGGATCAGTCACCTCTGGCCTTGGGGTGTGAAGGAGGTTGGGGGACCCCACCTTGAAAGGTTGAGGTGGCTGTGGTGGAACGTGGTGTCCTCTGGGACCTGCACGCTTGGCACCTAATGACGCCAGGCCCAGGCTTTGGGAGAGGGACTGAACCTCCACTAAGTCATCCCCACAGCCTGTGACCCCATGAGAGTAGGTACTGTTATAGCTCCCACTTTCCAGAAGAGAAAACAGGTTCAGAGAGGTGAGGCCAGCTGTCCTCAATCATGCACCTCGAAACCAGCAAGGGCAGGACTACAACCGTAGTCTGTCCTTCTCTAAAGCCCTTACCCTAGCACTGCCCTCTGCTGCCTTACTTAGAAGTAGAAGGGTGCCACAGAGACTGGTGCAATCAGGGCGGGTTTCCTGGAGGAGGCAGGCCTAGAAGGAGAACTTGAGCAGAAAGGCTGTTCTGAGCAGCGCTTCCCGTCAGGCCTCACTGAATTTTAGAAAGGAGGAGACCCTGAAGATTGTCTAGGAATTGAGGGCCAGGGTGAGGCTGGGACTGGTCCAGGGCACCATGACTCCTGACTCTCCACTAAAGCCCCTTCCTCACCAGAGGGGGAATGGGAACAGCAGGAGCCATCGACTGAGCGCTTGCCCTGTCTGGAGCTGCCACACGTTCCTTACCTTGTTTAAGTCTGAGGTGGTCCCTTGGGACATCTTAGAGACCAGAAGACAGGCTCAAAGGGGCTTGGCCACTTGGCCAAGGTGTCCCATGGCCAGTAGGCGGAGGGGACAGCATTGGGACCAGGGGTGTTTGGCTCCTAGGACCAAGCTCTCAGGGCTTTGGCTCACAATCCAAGCTCAGACGCCTTCACCCCTCCTCCCAGGTGCCTGAGTCCAAAGAAGGCTCGACCCACCTGGCGGTGCCCGGAGTGTACTTCACCTGCCCGCTCACAGGGGCCATCCTGAGGAAGGACCAGCGGGACACCCGCATCAGAGAGGCCATTCTCTCGGTGAGTGCCCGCCGCCCCGGTGCTGGAGCCGCCTCCCAGGAGCCCGGCTGGCACCGAGGCCCTGTCACGTCCCCACCTGCGTATGCTGTGGTCTCTTTTAATCTCTCTCTAAGGAGGTAATATTCACACATGGGATAGAATTCAAAATCCAGAAGGGTAGGTGGGGAAAAGCTGCCTGCCACCCATCTCCGGGCCACCCTCCCCGAGGCAGCTGTCGGTGGTGGTTTCCGTCCCTTTCAGACAGAGTCCTAATGCGTACAAACCACCGAAGCCTCTGTAGCTCCCCACACTTGTTGTGTTTTTATTTTATGTAACAGATAATGTACCATTTATACCTGACGTGGAAACTGCTGGGTGTTATGTCAATACAGAGAGAACTCCCATTTTTTTCTTTTTTATTCCTTAAAACCTTGTATCTGGAAGTAATTGCAAACTTAAAGAAAAATTGCAAGAACTAAAAGAACACCTGAATATCTTTTACCCAGGGCCTGAGTTCCAGTAGGAACTTATTACTAATTTGTCTTACTACTGTTCTGACAAATTGCTGCGAACTTGGTGGCTTCAGACAGCATGTCTCTCCTCTTAGTTCCGGAAGTATGAAGTGGGACGTGGGTCTCACTGAGCTACAGTCAGGGTGCCTTCTGGGAGCCCTGAGGGGAGTCAGGCTGTCTGAATTCCATGGCTCCTTCCTCCTTCCTCCATCTTCGCCGCCCGCGGTGCCAGGCCAGGGCTTTCTCAGCTGCCATCTCCCTGCTGCTCTCTCCTCTCCCTCATCCCCCTTTTAAGGGCCGGACTGAGTCTGCTGGGCTCACCCGGATAATCCAGGCTCATCTCCCTATTTTAAGGTCCACTTGATCAGCAGCCTCAACTCTACCTGCCTCCTTCCTGCCCCCAGCCAGGTAACTTAGCACATTCGCAGGTTCCAGGGATCAGGACACACATATCTATTATTCAGCCCGTCTTAGCCAGATTTGCCAGTTGTTAACATTTTTAATCCCATTTGCTTTGTCGCCCTTATTGTTTTCTGAGCAGTTTGAGGGAAAGTCTGCTTTCTCCATACCGACTGTGTGCTGCTCACTGCAAATTGTTCCCTGTTTACCCAGCCCCACGTGGATGAGCATGTGGGAAGGTTCATCTTTTGCTAGTGAGAACAGTTGACATGAAAACGTCTGCACATCACTTCAAGCTGTAGGTTGTTCCGGAAGCAGAGCTCCTGGGACAAAGGACACTTGTGTAGGGCTTTGGATGGTTGTGAGCAGGTGACCCTGCATGAGGGTGTCCGGACTCACACTCCTGCCAGCAGCGTGTGACAGAGTACCCACTTCTTTGTCCCCTCTGCATTCACTGTTGCCAGACTTTTTTTGTCTTTATCGAAATTGATAGGTAAAAACAAGAGCTTAGTTTTCATTTGCATTTCCCTTATTTTGGGTTAGGTTGGCTGTGTTTTCATATGAGAATGCATCCTTTGCCCATTTTTGTGTTGGGGGTTGGTTCTTTTTCTTACTGATTTGTAGGCAGTTTTTTAATCAGGAAAATCAGTCTTTTGGCTGTGGTTCGAGTTGTGAATACTTCTCTCCGGTTGTTTACTTTTAGAGTCGACATACACCACTTTGCCACGTAGAAATTTTTTCTCTCTATAATTCGGTGTGTCAGTTTTATTTTATGGCTTTCGGGTTTTGTGGCATACTTAGAAAGGCTTTCCCCACCTCGGGATTAAAACAGTTCCATGGTTTTTCTAGTGCTTTTCCGTTTTGCTTTTTGTTGTGTGTTTTGTTTTAATGTTTAAAGCTTTGATCCAGCTGGAATTTATCCCTGTGTAGAATATGAAGCATGGAGCTAGTGTTTTTTCTCCCAGATAGTTACCGATTTTTCCCAGTCCCCATTTATTGAAAACACCCGTCTTTTGGCCGCAGCTGTGAAATCTGCCCTTATCACCAGGTAAATCCTTATGTGGATTCTGTTCTTCCCGGACGCTCTGTTCCTTTGCCCCTTGTCTGTCTGTGTGCCCTGGCCCTAATTCAAACGAGGCTGCAGGCCACCTGGAAACATCTGAGAATGGCGTTTGGAGCTGCGGCTCTTCACCAGGCGGTGGCTCTGCTGGCTCTTAGGAGGTGGATGGGGTGGTCTGCCAGGGCTGGCCTTGCTCAGCCGTGTCCTGATGCCCCCATCTCACTGTTTCTCTGCAGACCTGCTTTCTCTGCCCTTTTCGGCCCTTTTGTCCTACTCCAGCAACTAAACTGGCAGACTGGGCTGGGTCCCAACTTGAGGTTCACAGGAGAGCTGGCCTAGTTTGGATCCGACGTCCGAGTGCCACCAGCGTGGCTGCTGAAGGCTCACGCCTGTGTAGTTTTAGGGAGGCGGCTGGGGCAGGGGCAGGGCCGGGGCAAGGCCCACACCTGCCCTTCCTTATCTCTGAGTGTGCCCGGGCCAGGCCTCTGGCTGGGCTTCTGTGAGGCTGCCCAGGGTGACCTGAGCGTGCCGGCTTGTCTGTGCTCTGACACATCGCCCCTGGTGACCCAGCTGTCAACCGGACAGTGCAGATGAACTGGGGCTGATGTGGGTGGCAGCCCTGCTCGCCCTGTGCCTGTTGCCTTTCTAGGACTGCAGAGAAACGAGACCACATGGCGTGGCCATGTGCGGTGGCTGTCCAGAGCGTGGGCAGATCTGCTGTGCAGTCTTGCTCCTCACTTTAGCTGCCATTCTGAGCCTCTCCCCGCTGGGATGCTGTTCACACAGTCCCTGGTGTTGGGGGGCAGCTCAGAGGCTGGGCTGGCTGAGGGATCAAACGTAGGCCCTGTGACCTTTCCAGAGTTCCAGCTTCGACTCCCCCCCTCCCCAGGGAAGCAGGTGGAACCCCTGAGGCTTGGGGACTGGTCAGCGGTATTTCCACTATTTTGCCTCCCCAGCTGTGTGCCAGGCAGCCACGGGTCACAGACCTCTTTTGTGTCCTGTCTTTGCCACCTGTTTCTGAAACGCCCCTTGTCGGGCTGGGAGATTAGGAGGGGATGGTGCATCCACGGTGGCCGGTGGGTTCTGGGTGCCCAGAAAGCTGCAGCGCCCTTGGCAGAGCTCAGTGCTGGGGTCGGGCTTCAGGGTCAGAGTGGAGGTCTGTGTCAGACTGACCTGAGGGGTGGCGTCAGCTCAGCTGCCAACGCCCCCTCTTCCCTAGAGGTGAGGGCAGGGCCAAGGCCTGTGATGGAGTCATCAAAAGAGCTCTTCTTCCTTTGCTGCTGGGCAAGTACAGTTGAGTTTGCTTCAGTCACACGCTGGAGCCTGCTATGAGACAGTTCCTACCATTATCACCCGTGTCACCGCTGCCACCTGAGTGCTGAGACCAGGCTGCTCAGCAGGCGTGGCCTCCAGGCCCCAAGGTGGGTGCTTTCTGACTTGCTTTCCTCCCTCCTCCCAGCACTTTTCCACCGACCCGGTGGCTGCCTCCATCATGAAGATCCACACCTTCAACAAGGACCGGGACCGGGTGAAGCTGGGCGTGGACACCATCGCCAAGTAAGTGGGTGGCCCCATCCCATGGGGTCCCACCCTTCACTCCCCTGAGCCCTCAGGGAAGGGGCTTGGCCTCCTTGGGCCTCAGTTTACCTGTCTGTGTTATGAAAGGGTTTACCAAATCGGGGGTCCCCCCCCCCCCGGCTCCCTTCGGGATCATCAGAAGAATGTGAAGGAGGCGTGGTCTCTCCGCCCCCAGTCGCCTGATTGAGCAGGTCCCCGGGGACTCACAGGTCTGTGTTGCTCAGGAGCCCTCAAGCTGGCTCTGGGGATGTTATCCTGGCTCTGCCTGCTCCACCCCTCTATGCAGGTTCCTCGGTGCCCTCGGGGGGAGGCAGGTCAGAGGAGGAGGCCCAGCCTCAGCAGCACCAGGGGCTGGGTATCCAAGGTATGATGGTAGCCTTCCCTGGCGTCACTCTTAGCATGAGCCGGTGTGGCTCTGAGCGGCTGTCCTGTCCTCCCCAGGTACCTAGACAACATCCACCTGCATCCCGAGGAGGAGAAGTACCGGAAGATCAAGCTACAGAACAGGGTGTTCCAGGTGAGGGCTGCCACCAGGGTGGCGTAGCCTGGTGTGGCTGGCGTTACTGGCGTGGCTGGGCCCATGAGGCCACAGGGGACCCAGTCTGGTGGTGGGAGCATCTAGCCTGCAGACAGCCAGCGGTGCCCGAAGCCAGGCTGCAGAAGGGGCCCCACAGGGTTCGGGAGTTGAGGTGCACATGTCGTGCACAATACACGACGTTGTCTGCTCTCCCTGCCACCCACAGTGTGTTTGACTTTTCTTTGAATTAGCTGGGAACACATTAGCACTGGGGAGGTTTTTCACACAAATGCAGACTTTTGATTTCTACGGAGAAATTGCAGGGTCCTGCCACCCTGGCCTGTGGTACCCGTGCAGCTGGCAGGGTACTGCTGTCTCCTGGTGGCCCCGACCTGCATCCAGCATCACACAGCCCGCCTCCCCACACTGTCCTTTGACTCTTCCTTCTGCCTCCTTCACCTTAGTGTTGACTGTTAGGGGTCCCAGGCCCTCTGAGCTTAGCCCCGCAGACTGCTTTCGGGATTCATCCTGTCCAGGGGCAGCAGCTGCTGAGACTGGGGCCTCTGGGCTGGGAGGGTGGTGTGGGCAGCGAGGTTCATGGGGCACAAGAAGGCCCCAAGGGTCTTGTGTGACCTCTGGCTCCGCTCCCAGGAGCGCATTAACTGCCTGGAAGGGACCCACGAGTTTTTTGAGGCTATCGGCTTCCAGAAGGTGTTGCTTCCAGTCCCTGACCAGGGTAAGAGGGACAGTGAAGGGCCCTGGCTGAGCCTAGAGGAGGGGGTGGGAGGGCCCGGTGTGGGGGGCTCCCTCCCGCGGCAGTGACATCAGTCCGTCTCTGCCCCAGAGGGCCCTGAAGAGTTCTACGTGCTGAGCGAGGACGCCCTGGCCCAGCCCGAGAACCTGGAGCAGCACAAGGAGCAGCTGCTGCGCGCCGAGCCCGTGCGGGCCACGCTGGCCCGCCAGCGCCGCGTCTTCCGGCCCTCACCCCTGGCCTCCCAGTTTGACCTGCCTGCAGACTTCTTCACCCTCACAGCCGAGGAGATCAAGCGGGAGCAGAGGCTCCGGTCGGAGGCCGTGGAGCGGCTGAGCGTGCTGCGGACCAAGGCCATGCGCGAGCGGGAGGAGCAGAGGGAGCTGCGCAAGTACACGTACACGCTGCTGCGCGTGCGCTTCCCCGACGGCTGCCTCCTCCAGGGTGCGTGCCTGCTGCCCGGCTGACCTGCCAGGCTGGGCTCTGGGCGCGGCGTGGCCGCTGCTGCCTTGGGCTTGCTGTGCCCGGGAGGGAGCGGAAGGCCTCTCCGGTCTGAGCTCGTCCTGGGGGAGGCACTCCAGCCCCATCTTCAGGCGAGGAGGGTGATAGCTCAGGGGGCTGGGTGGGCCCAGGGGGGTTCCCACAAGCTCCAGCGCCACCTGCCTGTCTCGCCCCCAGGGACCTTCTATGCCCGGGAGCGGGTGGCGGCACTGTACGGGTTTGTCCGGGAGGCCTTGCAGAGCGACTGGCTGCCTTTTGAGCTGCTGGCCTCAGGCGGGCAGAAGCTGTCCGAGGATGAGAACCTGGCCTTCAATGAGTGCGGGCTGGTGAGTGCAGCAGGTCCGGGGCCTCTCAGGTTCTTGCTGAATTCTTGATGAGGGGGATGCTCTTTAGTTTGGGGTGGCCTTAGGGGAAGGTATCCTGGGGCCAGCCTTCCTAGGTTTAATATGTCCCACCTTTCCACTTACTTGCAGTGTGATCTTGAGTAACTTCTTGTCTATAAAACGGGAGTGTGGCAAGCGTGTAGTCCTCTGAGCAGCAGAACAAGTGTGGCATTCGAAACGCAGGGAGTTACTGGGGAGGATGCAGGAGGGGGCCTGAGGGTGACCAGACCCTGATTCAGGGAGTCTGGGAGGGCCTGACTGCCCTGGATACTGGGTCAGCTTCAGCCTGGCCATCGTCAGAGGATCCCCTGCTACGGGGATGGACTGACTGCATGACTGTGTTGTCACTGGCGGGGAGTGGCCCCAGGTGGGCCTGGCTCCAGCTTAAAGATTTGAACATGAGGACAGGGCTTCTGTCACATAAAGGCCAGAGCAGGGCTGAGGCTTCTCATCCTGTTGCAGGTGCCCTCAGCCCTCCTGTCCTTCTCGTGGGACGCGGCGGTGCTGGAAGACATCAGGGCCGCGGGGGCCGAGCCAGACTCGTCTATCCTGAAACCTGAGCTCCTGTCGGCCATTGAGAGGCTCTAGTGAAATAAAAGCAGGGTTGGCTTTAGTCCCCATGGGTCTGTCTCATGCTCCTCCTGCCTCCCTCACACTCCTCTCGTCCCGGTCCCCCCACCGCTCCAGGGCCTCCCGGCCTCCTCTGGAACCGCCTGCCCTGGCCCCCAGTGCACATGGGTGTGGGGAGGGGCACTGCTTGGCCATGGACATGTGCTGTGACCGTGGCCTGGAGAGGGCAGTCACTGTTAACCTGCGTACAGAACCCCTGGGCAGGAGGGCGGGCCTGCAGCGCGGCCCAGTGTCCGTGTACTGTGGCCCAAGTGGCTGTGGCTGGCCCTGAGGTGACCGGCAGCAGAGGGAGACACTGGGCCTGTCAGGACAGTTCTGTAAAGTTATGAACCTGAATAAACAGGCTGTTTGACCAGTTTCCTGGTGGGTCCAAGCTGTCAGGTGCAGGGTAGGTTTAGAAGCTGCAGAGTCACCGGCCAGAGGGCTGGCTGTGGCTCCTGGTGAAGTGGGACCTGCTCCTGGGGACGTGTCTGGGGGCCCAGGAGCCCGCGTGTCGGGTCAAGCTCTTCATTTCCTGTGCTTTCCTGGGGGGGCAATCCCTAACTGTTGTCTCCACCTGCCAGATGAGCCCACCCTGCTGGGGAGGGCTTCCCAGGGCCTGGGGCTGTGGGGGCCAGAGCTGTGCAGGCCCGGCAGACCAGGATCCCTGCCGATGTCCACATCCTCACTCCCGGAAACTGCATGTCACTCATGTGAGAAAGGGACTTCGCATGTGATGAAGGGTGAGTTGGAGATGGCCCTGGTTGTGGTGCTGGGCCCAGTGTCATCGCAGGACAACAACGTGGAAGAAAGCGGGAGAGGGAGATGTGACGCCGTGGGTTTCAAAGATGGAGGAAGGGGCTACGAGCCAAGGAATTCAGATGGCCTCTAAAAGCTGAAAAAGGCACAGAAGTGGATCCCCTGGAGCTTCTAGAAGGAACCAGCGCTGCTGACACCTCATCAGACTTCTGCCTCCTAGAATTGTAAGAACGGGTTTGTGGTGACTTGTTACCACAGCCACAAGGAGTGAGTACAGGCGGAACCCGGGGCCTGGAGTGTGGGCTGCACCTGCCTGAGCCTGGGCTCTAGACCACTCTCCCCGGTGCTAGTCCCTTCTAGACCCTTGCCTGCATGGGGGCCTGTGGGGCCTGCTCCTCCGGCCTCTGGGAGATTGAAGCTTCCAGGCCCCAAGTATGAGTAGAAACAAGCCCCCCAGCCGGTGAGTAGCCCCCGCAGTGCTTTGTCTCACATCTGGGCTGCCGGCAGCTCTGTTCGCACGTGGGGGCAGGACCTGGGCACCCCCCCACCGCCTTATCGCTGAAACCCAGCACTGCCTAGGCTTGTCACTTTGGTCTCACGTTCCACCCTCAGCTGCTGCTGGGAGTGGCTGCACCTTGTCAGGCGGCAACTGAAATGGTTTTAAGCTGACCTGACTGGTGCAGGTAGTCGCGTCACAGATGGAGCCACACGTGCGTCCTGTCCCTGTGCTGGCACCCGGCAGCTGCGCCCAACCTGCAGCAGTTAGTCCTGGGTGGGGCCAGGGTCCTCCCAGCAACTGTGGTGTCTGCAGCCCCACCAGGCCTGGCAGGGGCTTGGCGCCACGCAGTGAGCTCCCCAATGGCGGGGTCGAGCTGCCGTCTCAGCTGTATCCATGGTGCCCCCCTTCTCCCTCGGGAATGTCGACAGCAAATACGACGTGATGGGAAGGGCTAGCAGGACAGGAGTCTAGTTCCCTGTGAACTCTGCCCAAACCCCAGCTGCCCCAGGCCTTCACCACATGCTCGCACACCTCTGCAGGGCATGTCACAGTCCCCGTGTCGGGCTGCTCCGGGGCCTCGCACACCATGCTCAGGTGCTGTGCTGGCGCCACTGTCCTCAGTTTCGATGCTTCCCTGAGGTGTGGCCTTACTCAGAAGTCAGCTCTGGAAGCCGGGTTTCAGCTCATGGAGGTTGGAAATACCCTCTGCTTGCCTACCTGAGGAGCAGGAGGGTTTAACTGGCCTAAGTAAGCACCTGCTGAGAAGCCCTCTGAACTGGGTCAGCGGGAAGGCCGAGTATTTCACAACAAAGAGGTACAAAGCGATGGGACAGAGCTTTTGCAAAGCGTAATGTTTCATACAAACATCACGGGTCCGCGTGTGGGGAAGTGGGGAGCAGATACCCGACGGCACAGAGCACCGGGCAGCGGACACACCGCTCACAGAGGCGACGTATTTGAAAAGACGACAAATGTGCCAGGTCAGGGCTAGACAGTGAGTTTATACACAGCCACGTCAGGTCCGGGCACCACGCCACACCCACGGGCTTCAATTCATTTACAAGCATCTCCTCATGGCACCTGCCAGGGGTCCACAGGGCACGACCAGGCTTTCCCCGTGCAGGCAGGTCATCACATCACAATAATGCTTTATTAAAAGGCAGATTAATATGCAGCTTTTGGGGGAAAATCTTTACAAGTATCAAAAAGAACTAATCAAGCATCCTATATAAAACTTTCCAAACCTCCAGGGAGGTCTGCGAAGCAGGACAAAGTGCTCTTTACACAGGAGTCAGGACTTTCAAGTATCTGAGAGGCGCTGAGAGTACCCTAACCAGTCTACATACATACACGGCCCGTCAGGGGCTCAGGAAGGGCTGAGCGAGCTGGAGGGCACAAGGCTCGCTCTGGTGTCCACTCCCACAGCCCCCCCAGCTCCAGAAGTGGTTCCGCACAGGGCCTGGACCTCTGCAAGGCAAGAGAGGGAGGGGCTTCAGCCACCGCACCTGCTGTGGGAGTGGGCGGGCAGGCCCTGCTTCTCACTAAGGCTTGGGCGGTGTCCACCTCGTGCCTGGGCGCTTTCCCTGGCACCCTTCAGCTGGCTTTGCACCCGACCTCCCAGGAGAGGAAGCCCGTGGCGGAGGCGGGGGAGGCGGGCACCAAGGCCCAGCGGCTTGCTGTGCAGGCCGAGGACAAGGGCCCAGGCTCCCTGCCCCCGGGGAGGCTCGGCTCCCGCCCCTGGAGCCTGCCTCCCGACGCGGCTCATCACTGCTGACATTCAGGACGCTGGTGTCCCACGTGTAGCTTTCAGACCAGGGCAGACGGTCCGGGCCTGGGCTGGAGCCCCGTGCCCACACCGCCACCTGGCCAGCCTGCCCAGCGCCTTCCAGGGCCTCTGAACTCAGTCTTCATTAGTCACAGAAGAAGGCGAGCGGGAGAGTGAAGGTGCCCGGTCTTCCCTCCCCTGCCAACTTGAAGGAAAAGAGGAGGGTTCGGGACCCTTCTCACCCCCAACATCCGAGATGTCCATCAGCACACAGTCTCCTTCCTCTTCTTCCTCCTCTTCCGTGTCCGCCTGGAAGCCATCCAGGTCCCCAGCTTCAACCTGGACAGACAAGGGCACACAGTCCATCAGCAGCAGCCAGGGATGGTGTGATCCCTCCCATCACCTGCTTCTGTACTCCTGACCTCTGCCCATTTTGGCAGCAAAAGTTCAGGAGTCTGGTCAGTTATGACCAAAGGAAGTCTTGGGGAGTCCTCTCACACAAACTAATTGTGTTCAGATTTCTGAAAACTACCCTCATCGTTATTCATCCTATTACAGAAACAATTTGTGAATTGTTTTTGAATTAGAATTCTGGGTTTCTGGTTTGGTTTGAAAGAGAGGTTGATAAAGGCACACACCTTCCCTGGATAATTACTGGGACTAAGAGGCTGGGACATTAGTTGGTCAGTGTTTTCTTCTCTGCCCAACAGCTTAGTCCCCTCTGCCTGATGCTTTGGTGACACTTTCCTTTCACTGATGCTCAGACCAGCTTTGCCTGAGGATGCCATGTGCGCTGCGTGGACAGGGGTCAGGAGGAGTGGGAAGCCTCTACTGAGGGTAGGATTGCCAATGAGATCCTGAGCCTGGGCTTTTACCAGAGGGGACAGAGAGAGAGGATGGAGAAAGTAACAGGCCTAACTGTAAACATCAACCAGCCACCCGAGCTTCACTCTCTATAAATGAACAAAAGAACCGGCAGAGGAGGCAGAGCTGGGCTTACTTCTAAAGCGAGGCTATTTCTCAAAACACTTGTGAAATTCCTGTCACCCTTGCCTGGAAAAAGGATGACAGCACAACAAGACCCTCTGCCTCGCACACGGGTTCCCCGGCCTGGCTGGCAGACCAGGCTCATGTCCGCAGTCCCCAGTTCTCAGGTAGAAGCACCACACCAGGTCCTCGTGGCTGAGAGCCACGGAGGCAGGAATGGCCCCAGGCAAACAGGGAGCACTGCTGCAGGAAGGATGCTGCAGGCAGTTTCCAACTACTTGTTTCAAAAGAACTGAGCAGCTCTCAACCACCCCGACCTGGGGGTGTTCCTTTGGGTCTAGTGAGCAATGGGACAGATAGGTTCCTGCACAGCCTTCCCCGGTCCCCGGGCCCTCCAGACAGGTGCAAGTGCAGATGGACGAGGATTTCTCTGGGTCCACAAGTTTTTAGAGGAGCCACCATCCACAGCTCCCTGGGCGCACAACATTCTAAAATGAAGAATTCAGGACGACATCCTGAGTCCTGCTGTGCTGAGAGCTGTCAGCAGTCTGCAGGCGCGGCGGAGCTCACCACGCCGCTGTCCTGCAGGTGGAGCGTGCAGAGACAGAAGGGAAGCCTCCGGAGTTGGGAAGACGGTGAACAACCATAAAGAACTGAGACTGGGTAACACCTGGTCTCCTTTTAGGTTCCTTTTTTTTGTTGTTTTTCTTAGATTTTTTTCCCACTTTTTTAACACTTTTTATTGATTTATAGTCATTTTACAATGTTGTATCAAATTCCAGTGTAAAGCACAATTTTTCAGTTATACATGAACATATATATTCATTATCACGTTTTCTTCTCTGTGAGCTACCATAAGATCTTGTGTATATTTCCCTGTGCTGTACAGTATAATCTTGCTTATCTATTCTACAATTTTGAAATCCCGTCTATCTTTTAGGTTCCTTTTGATCACAGAATATTTTTGACTGGAAAGAGCAAATACAGCCTCCCCC